CTATCAAGGGACTAAAGTAAAGCTTCCTCAGATCCCTGAATAAAAAAGCTGCGTGCCTCAGTTTCCCTGTGTATAGAAGGGGAGTCGTGCTGGTGACGACCTCACATGGTTGCTGTGAGGATTAGTCCCCCCAGGTAAGGTGCTGGTCAAAGACAGCCACTGTTTCCATCAGCATCCATCCATCCTGCCGCTCCATAGCCTGACCTCTTCCTACAGGAAGGCCACCAGCCTCACCCCTTCAAGGCTGCACTGCTGGGACCTGCTGCTGCCCCACTGGTACAGACCACGTGCCTTTCCGCACTGCCTAGACGCCACCTCCCCGATGACAGTGGGTCCCTCGTATGGAGTCGCCTACGTATTGGGCACAGTGCTAAGCCCTTTACATCTGCATCTACATCTGTATCTGTACATCTCACAAATCTTTCAACTAATCCAGGAGGGGGGTGTAATACACCCATTTCGTGGATGAGGAGATGCAGAGAGCTTAAGTGACTTGCCTCAGGTCACGTCAGGAGTAGCAGAATCAGGATGTGAACTCTGCCATCTCCTTGACATCATTGTTTTTTTCTCCTGATCAAATTTCCCTTTGGTCAGGAGCCCCCTCCTTGTTTCCACCTGCCTTTTCTTTTCTTTTCTTTTTTTTAAAGATTTTATTTATTTATTTGAGAGAGAAAATGAGATAGAGCATGAGAGCGGGGAGGGTCAGGGGGAGAAGCAGACTCCCTGCTCAGCAGGGAGCCCGATGTGGGACTCGATCCCAGGACTCCAGGATCATGACCTGAGCCGAAGGCAGTCGCTTAACCAACTGAGCCACCCAGGCGCCCCCACCTGCCTTTTCTTAGCATTGATGATTTAGATCATCATTATAAAGACATTCCACGTAAAGCTTTTTAAGCAAATGTCCAGGCCAGGGATTTCCAAGTGGTTTCCACAATGAGTCATGTGATCTCAAAGCCCCTTTCAGAGTTTTAGGCAATTTATGTACTTCGGGGTTACTGGATTTCTGAGTACATTTTTAGCCTGTATCCCTTCTTCTAATTAAGCTTTCAAGAAATGGCTAAAATAGGGCTTTTATGTTTCTTTACTTAGTGGAAATGCATGATAATGTGAGGTAGACTATAGTATTAAAAATACGTGGGTTTTCTTAAAGGAATAAAAAGAGCTTGTTTTATTTGATCACATGCACACCATTAACAGGCCAAATTCTGGGCACTGAATGATTTAGACATGTCAAGGACAAGACTGGCATTAACAGCCTGGAGGACTCTGGGCATCAGGGAGGGTAGTCAGCCGGGACACACCTCTACTCTCTAGGTTTGCAAGCCTGATAGAGGCTCTCAACTTAAATGTGAGCAATTAAAACAAGAGACTGTCCTTCCACAGAACACAATGGACCCAAATATTGCTCCCAAATTGGCCACAGAGCCAAAAATTTCAGGAATGCTTGGGGACACCTTCTAGGATTCCTGCCTACCTGGCCTCTCATTCTGGGCCAGTTCACCCCTACCCCCTCCTTCTCCTTTTAGCTTTAGGAATGTTCCGTTTCCCTGTCCTGATCTTGTGGTTGAGCCGATCACCTCCCTGCTACCTGACCCACTAGCAGCTTGGAGGAAGCTTCTCCACTCTCCTCCCCAACACCGTAACCCAGAACACAGCACACTGCCTGTCCTTAGAGGTTCACGGGCGGCAGCTCTTGTCTGGGCAGCAGGGCTCTGGACTCCCACTGATTTCCCTTATCTAAGAATTCCACCTCTCACTGCTGTAGGAGGACGCGACCAGAGAAAACCCCAAAGTGACACAGATGCCGAGGGTCAGAAGCTGGTGTGCCCTGGTGTGGCAATGACCAGAGGGTGACAGCAGGCTCACCACCATCTCAGACACACGGTATCCTCAAAGCCGAGTCATGTGGGTGCTCCTGGAGCTATCCTCACCCAGACTTGATTGAAATCCTAGTTTCCTTCTAATCTTGTAAAATATTTCAGAGGAATTCCAAAAGGCTTCTTAAAAAAAAAATTGCACATGCATTTTATGATCATAACGGTTATTGCTATGGTTGTCATTACTGTTTTGCTTAGGCTGGTTAGGGCTGGTTTTAGTTGTGGTTAACTAAAAACCCTCTCTTGGTATAGCCAGCTGCCTAACAAACAGGCAGGGCATGACTAGGTCCATCTGACGAGGGTTCAGGTAGAATTATCATGTGGTACGTCCCCTAAGTGACTGAGCATTTCCCACCTGCCAGGACTTTCCAACTACACCCCACCCGGCGGACTCGTTCCCAACTCTGCCTTCACCATAAGCTACAAGTGAAGAAACACAAAACTAAACTAAACATAGGTATGAATGTGATCAGACTTAAAAGATAAACAGTAAAGTGACAAAAGCATAATGACCACAGATCTGATATTCAAAGGCATCCCTGACCTGTAAAAACAAGAAAAGAATGAAAATCCCCAAAGGAAAATGATGTACAAATAGATAATATGTGAAAAAAAAAAAAACTGTTAATAAAGAAAAGAAAATCAAAATGGCAGAAACGGGGTGTTTGGGTGGCTCATTCGATTAAGTGTCTGTCTCTTGATTTTGGCTCAGGTTCTGATCTCGGGGTTGTGAGATCGAGCCCTGTGTTGGGCTTTGCATTCAGCACTGAGTCTGCTTGAGATTCTTTCTCCCTCTCCCCACCCCCCTATTTGCTCTCTCTCTCTAAAATATATAAATCTTTAAAAAATAAAAAACAAATAAAATGGTAGAGACACCCCTCTCCCATTATCACTTGGGAAAAATTTACCCAAATCATCAAGCCAGTTGTTGGTGCAAACGTTGAAGATGGTTTCTCCCACCTGCTGCTGGTGGGCGTGCAAAGTGGCGCAGGCTGCCCATTCGGGGGTTGTTTTCAAAGTAGTGATCAAAAGCCTTCAAAATGTTCATGCCTTTTTATGTAGTGATTCCAGTTCTACAGCTTTAATCAGGGAAACAGAGCTGTGCAGAAAGAGAAATCTATACTTCATTGCATTGCTTATAAAATTAAAAAACTTTTTTTTAACTAGCTTTCTTTTTGGAATGAAGGGCGGTATCCCAAGAGACACAAACGAACATTTACTGAGTACTTCCCATAGGCCAGGCGCTTTCCTCAGAGTTCTGCACGTCTGACCTCATTCCTGGACTTGCTCACCGTCTGGCTGGGCCCAGTGCAACAGCTACATGGCACAGCAGGAGGACAGAGCTGACTGGTCCGGACTCAGGGGGGCAGGTAACACAAAACCACTTAAGTAGCATTTGTTTCTTAAAAAATGATTTTTGGTGGTTTTTTTTGGCTCAGAAATCGGTGATGTCTCAGCAATGGACTAATAACGGAGGATAAAACTTATTGAGAACTTACTCTGCGTCAGACGCTGTTCTAAATGCTTTGCATGTATTAATACTTTTGATCTCTACCCAATCTTGTGAGGTAGATGCTATTCTTTTTTTTTTTTTTTGGTAGATGCTATTCTTAACCCATTTTGCAAGTGAGGAAACTAAGGCAGAAGAGCGGATATGTGGCGTGCCCAACGTTGAGACAGCCAGTCATGGCAGAATCAGTAACGCCAGTCAGCCAGGCAGCTAGCTCCAGAGCTCGTGTTCTTACCTAGGTTAACCAGGGCTTGGCTGGAGTCAGGAATTGAAATGATGCTACCAACAACTCTTGGCTTGCATCTCAGAGCTTCCTTCCTAGGTAGCCTTCCTCCATGGGCAGCCCCAAGACCACATTGACTTCCCAGCTTATCATACCAACAAAGGAGGTCTTCCCAACAGCCCCAGCCCGAGTCCCAGGGACTGTCAGGTCCGGTTTGGGTCCGGGGTCCTCCCCTAGGACAGGCTTAGTCTCATGAGAACTCTGCAGGACTACTATAGAGAGCAGGAAAAGTAGCTTCTCAGAGGAAGGGATGTGTGTTCACAGTAAAGACCAGTCAACTGTGACCAAGGGTCAAGGTGAAAACCGGCCAATGAAATTCCTGCTACGTGCCAGGTGTTTGCAAGGCACTGGGCATCTCTGACCCATAAAAACAAGCAAAGAATGAAAATCCCCAAAGGAAAATGACGTGCAAATAGACAATATGTGGGGAAAAAAAACTGTTAATAAAGAAAAGAAAATTAAAATGGCAGAAACGGGGTGTTTGGGTGGCTCAGTCGATTAAGCATCCGAACTCTTGATTTCAGCTTAGGTCATGATCTCAGGGTCATGAGATCTTGAACCTGACTGAGACCTGATTGTGGGTGATATGGTTGTCACCCACAATCAGGTGGGAGAGCACAAGCGGAAGTTAAAATCACAACAAGAATCCTTTCTGGAGCCCATGGAGAAGGGAATAACTGATCAGGAGGTGAGCAGGATCTGGAAAGCCAAGTAAGTAGTAGTGACTAGTAACTACCTGCTTGGACGCATACCACATGCCAGACACTAGGCTAAGCGATCAGTACACATTTATCATCACTCTGCTACCTACTGTGTCACAGATGAGGACACTGATACTTAGAACAATGAAATACCTTGCCCAAGGACCCATCATGATGGAGCCAGGAATCAAAGGTCTATAAACACATTGGACATAACCAAGTTGCTAAGGAGAGCCAGCAAAGGTCATAGTCAATTTCATTTTTCCCCCATAAGTAATTGACATTGAAAATGAAATCCCTTGGTTGGTAGCAATCTGATATGAGGTATCTATTAAGGTACACAGAACACACAGTTAAGAACTTATTTAACTGGCCCCAGCAATGAAAATGCAGTCATTAAATACTGGACTTTTTCCAACCTGCTTTTAAGTATCATCATTATGGTGTATGAGTAGTGCCATTAAAAATATCAGGGGAAAAAGGCTAAAAGGACTTCAGATCCAAATACAAAGACCCTGAAACCATCAAAGGGGAAACCGGATCTGACCTGAACATACTACATATGGAAACCCTGGAATCACTGTGATGCTCTGGGGAATATTCAGTTACAAGGGAGACCCAGCACTGACCTTTTTGCAAGGAGACAATCAACAGAAGACTGTATTTGATAGGAGGAACTCACTTCCTGTTGACAAGGCTTCTAACCCTGTACAAGAGAGAGAAGAGGGGAGGGCAAAGACCTCGGCCGGCTCTGAACTGATGAACCCTGGCTCTTGAGGAGTCTGAAAAGAAAAAGAAAAAAGGAGGTATTGTGTACAAAGGCCATATGATCTGCCCAGCTGTTACATCCTTTGCTCCTTCGCTAGAAAAGCTGAAGGAATGACAGAAGCCAGCCAGCAGAAACTTGACATTCTCCTCTTGAATATTTATTACATCTCTTCTGCAAATACTCATGACATATAGAAGATACCGGAGTGCTTATTAGTTCAAATTTTACTTCCCGGATTGCTTTCTGGGCTACCCACCCCCGTACTCAATCCACCTCAAGCCACTGTCCCTGCTGCCCACACGCCCAGCAGAGCACACCGCCCTTTATTTGGTGCCTCCGGAACCCCACATACAGTATTTCTATTACGGCCTTGTATTGAAATCAACTCCTGCACTAGATTCTAACTCACCTCCGTCGCCAGCACTTTAGCGGATGCAGCTGCTCAGAAAATGCTGACTGAATTAATAAAAAAAACCGCTTCTGTACATTTGTAAACACTGCACTACACTGTAGGAGTTCTCTGCCGCCGTCTTTGGTCCGGGAGCCGCGCAAGGGCAACGCCATGCCTTACTCATCTCTACCTCCATTGCGGAGCACGGGGTCTTAACAGTTCCCGGCAAGGAGCAGGTGCTCAGGAATCACGTTTCAGTGGTTACGCACAGAACTTCTCAACGCGTGATGCGTAGCACGGGGTAGGAGAGTAAGGAACCGGACTACTGCTAGAGAAAAGCCGGGGAATTCGTGACACGTCTCTTTCTTTGGTTGATGGGCGTGATGCGAAGCGGCAGGTCTCCGGGCAAGTACAAATTTGGCTCCCACGTTCCCGGCGGGAGCAATTTCTCACGAGTCAGGAGGGGGCTAACATGAACCACACAGGGGTGCTCCCCGCTTAAACCCCACAACAGATCCAAGGTGTAGGCAGCTATAACCCCCGTGGTGCCGAAGAGGATCCAGGCCCAGACAGGTTTGTCTCTTGCCCAAGCCCATCCAAGCGGAAGGGGTCAGGCCCGAGGCTCGGCAGCAGGCACCTGGGACAGGCCGGCTGGCCTCTCGTCCTCCCGGGGCTGCCTTTGGCCCTTTCAAGTCTAGCTGGGCGACTCCCGAAGAGGAGGCGCAGAGCAGACGCCGGGGTGCTAGGACGCTTTGGGAACAGGGCAGTCGGAGGAGGCTCGGGCCGCAAAGAGCCGAGGGAACGAGGCGCCGCTGAGCCGCGCCCCCTCGCCTGGCACGCGTTCGGCGGCGTTAGTAAGCTTGGTCCTTCTGGGCATCCGTAGGCCGGAATCCACTTGCGGGCGCTTCGCAGGGAGGGGCAGGATCGGTATTTTGAAATTCAAATCACGTTTGCGTACTCGAACTTGGAGGTTGCGAAGCCGTCCCCACCCAAGATTCTCACCAACGAAAACCTCGAAGACTACATAATCCCCACCCCTCACAGTAGAAGGTCCGCCGTCGGGGATCCGACCGCGGAAGTTCCTCCTGCAGCGATCCGATTGCGTCACTTCCGTCGCGCTTCTGGGAGGGGCCAAGATGGACGCTCCGCGGGCCCGGGAGCAGCTCCGGCGGCGATACCTGTTCCCACCGGACACCGAGGCCCCGCTGGACAGCGAGGGCTACGCCGGGCCGGGTGAGGCGCTCCCCCGGGCGCGCCCCGAGCCGCGCCCAGGTGGCCGGAGTCGAGGCGCCCGGAAACGGCCGGCTCCGCGGGCCTCCCGCAGCCCTGCCCTGGCAGGAGGGACCGGGTTTTGTTTTTCAAGGCTTGCCAAGTGATTTTGCAAGTCGGGGACTTAGCTTAATGAAAGATTCCTAGTGATCGCGTAGCCCCGCGCATCTTCATCCCAGCCGCGCTTCAGCATTCTCAGGAGAGCTGGTTTAACACCTGTTTCGTAATATCCATTAAAATAAATGCCGTCCGGTTGGATTTCTAAGAATCTACCGAAGAATTACACTCTTACCAAAACCCGACGGCGTACGTGCAACTTGTTTAACCTCAGCTTTGCTTGTAATGGCGAACGGCTGGAAATACCTAATTGCCCATAAGCAGAGAGCTGGTTAAATACATACATGGCACAGCAGGCAGACTTTTTTCTTTTTTACCAGGGTGGATGATTTTCGGAGGGAAGCGCAGAACAAAGTATGGTATGCCACCGTTTGGGTACGAACCTGGTAACGTGTGATGTGTGTTCTCCTGTAAATACGTAGAATATGGAAGAGTTCATAGAAGTTGGTATTGGTAATTGCTTTGGGGTCGAAAAACTAGGGTTAAGGATAGGAGATTTCATTGCGGATCTTGTTTTCCTGTATGTTGTAAGTCATGTACATTTATTACCCTTTTAAAAATGAACAGAAATCACGCCCAGGCATGCTTATTTATAAACTTTGAGGCTATCTCCCAGAATTTATAATATGAACATGCCTCTCTTGGGGATTCTGATAGCTTGCTAAAGGTTGGGCACCTCAATTGTATTCCAGTGGTTCTCACAAGAACTGAGAGAGAGGGCATGTCACTCATCTGGTGAACTTGTTAGAAATAACTCATCAGACCCAACCCGAGCCACCTTTTCTTTCAGATTGGGTCTCAAATGGAAGAAATTTGATTTGTCCATCACCTGTCTAGACAGTACTGTGCCAAGACTAGACCTCCAGTGTGCCCTTGCCACTTTTGAGCTGCCTCAAAAGGTTGTGTTTGTTTGCAATAATTAAAATATGTAGTTAAAAGTAGTATTTTGGGGGAAATTACAAGTCCATTTTGTGCTGTAATGTCTGATGTCTGCATTTTTCTTAATTAACAAGACTAACTGCTTTCTTAGGCAATATATGAAACGTAATACTAAAATTCTACACTACCCGGTGGTGTCATTCTTTCCAAAAGATGATAATAATTGTAAATTTGATTTTAAAATCCGTTTAGAGGGAAAAAGTTTCCTATATTGAACATGTTTTATGGCAGGTTCCTATTAATTACTTCTACATATATAAACCTATTTGGGTGGTTGTTCAGAAGAAATTGGTACTGTAATTGGAGAGAATCTGGGTTTTGGAAAGGTCCAGGAAATTATTTTATCCAGCTTAAAATAGCTATTTTTTTCCTTATAAATTTATGGTAACTTGATAAGTTAAAATCTTCCTTATTTGCAGAAGCCTCTACAGCTGTTGAAAAAAAGGAGAAACCTCTTCCAAGACTTAATATCCATTCTGGATTCTGGATTTTGGCATCCATTGTTGTGACCTACTACGTTGATTTCTTTAAAACCATTAAAGAAAACTTTCACACTAATAGGTGAGAAAACTTTATTGCTTTCTAAGTTAAGCACCATCATCTTATTTTTCATGTTCTGTTTTGTCAGTTGAATTTTGCAAATGTTTACAAAGCTCTTACTTCCTGCCAGGCACCGTGTTAGAGGTACTAGTGATACAAAGGTGAGTAAGAGAGTGTGTGCTTTGGACATGAACAGCAGAACGTATGAGCCTGGGAAGTATTTCAGTATGCCTTTCAGCACAAGTGTGTTGTAGAATGGCAAAGGTAGTGAATTTAAGAACCTAATCCATTTGTAAAAGATGGAAGAAGAAAGATTCTGCCTGATGGTCTCTCTGAAGATAAAGTGTAAGAGCACTGGGAGGAGGGGGTGAGGACTGTGGTAAGAACTGGGTCTCAGCTTGTTTTCAGAGAGTAGTTACAGCTAATAAGGTAACTACAGGGAGTGATTGAATTAGAGTTGATGTCACTCAAGGGAGGAGTTGGGAGCTGATGTCAAATCATCAGTCATTCAGGAGGATTGGGATCTCTTTGGTATAATCTCAGGAGCTGACATGGGGGACAAGGTTGTGAATTAGGTCTGAGTCCTCACTGAACATTGGACAATATTCTGGAGGCCCCCCATAGCAGAACAAAGAGGGGGAGATGTTGATGACCATTGGAACTGGCATTGGGGGGTGGTTTGCATAGGATGAGAGCACAGTTGTTCACAAGGAGCAGCAGGGCTAGAAAGGTGTGGATAGGACTGTTTGATCCCACGTTACCTTTTCTTCGAAGTCCTTCAGGAAGATCGGTGACCATTGGAGGGAGAGCCAGGAGATGCACGCAGTCAGGAGAAAGGCATATGGGACTTTAAACTGTTGGAGGGAAAGAGCTTGTTCTCTCTTTCCTCATTCCTGTGAGCTGGAGCTTTCCTTAAACACTCCCATCTTTCTGCCCTTTGCCCTCCTTGTTCCTTCCCTGAATGATCTGGGATGAAGAACCAGACGTGTCGCTCAGCACCTTCTTTCTCTTGGGATCCAGCTGCCCATTGGAAGCACAGATTCCAGTCTCCTTTTCTCTGCCGTCATTTCTGGGGGCAGCCCCGACATGCGAGGGTCTCTAGGTTTTCACATCAACTTGGAGCCTGGTGGGTATGTCTGGTCACCAAAGCCATCTTCCTGTAGCTCCATCAGTAAAAAAAAAAAAAAGCTGACAGTTGACCTCATCAGCCTAACTCCTGCGTGTCTCTCAGTTGGTTTAGAAACTGGGCTGGGAAAAGAGAGAATGGTTACTTTGCCCACCAGCAGTAGCAGCTGTATCTTTGTTATTCAGATGTGTCATGAGAGCCTGTGATGTGACGGCGATGATTGAGGCACATGTCTAGCCCCTCACCAGTCCCTTACGGTCCAGGATGGATAAATCGGTCATGTGGTGGGTGCTGTGTAAGTTTATGCACAGGATTTACCTCTGTCGCCTTATATTAAGTATTCTCACTAGTTTAAGGAATTGGTGAGGTAAGGGATAAGTAGTTACACGTAAAAGGTGCTGGAGGCACACATGGTCATGTGGCAGAGCCAGGACTCGGAATCTGGAGCCAGACCTTGGAGCAGGAGAAGGAAGTAGAAGTCACAGGCCTGGCCTCAGAAAAGCGTCCCCTTAGATAAAAAAGACATGAACGGATACCCACAGGCTGAGGATTTTGAGCAGCCCTGGATTCTTGCTGAGGGCCTCAGTAAGCAGTGGGGAGTTGGAGCCGTGCGATGAGAGCAATACCTGGGAGGGAGTGCGGGCCATGATCTGCTTTCTTGCATATGGTTCATTCTTCTGATACCTGAGGTCATTGCTTATTTCTTGCCCCACCGTTAGCCCAAGTTCAGAAGCTCGAGGCATTAGGGTTCTTTAAATCTGTGCAAGGTTAGGGGTACCTGGATGGCTCAGTCGGTTGAGGGTCTGACTCTTTCAGCTCAGGTTATGGTCTCAGGGTTGTTAAGATTGAGTCCTGCGTCAGGCCTTGTGCTGAGCATGGAGCCTGCTTAAGATTCTCTCTGCTCCCTCCTCCCCACACACCACTGCCCCAGCTGGCGTATGCTCTTTCTCTCTCTCAAAAACATTTTTTTAATCTATGCAAGGTTGTAAGATTATATGTTCAAAGACAGGAGAGACAGGTCAGCATTAAAGTGAAACATCATGATGCTTTGAAAATGTCAATTTTTAGGAAACTGCTGGGTGTGTGTCAACCAAGGAGCTAATTAAAACTACGATGGAAATTACCATCCCAGATGCCCAGGCTCTTCATACCCACCCAGCCAGAATCTGGGAGGCTGGGGCAAGTTAGCTTCCTTTTGGAATGTTGCAATGACTGATACACACCCAGGGTTGAGGGCCACTGACTTGCGGTATCGTTTTGATTCAGGCAAGTTCTTCAGCTGTTTCTGTCCTCTACCATATCGGGACTCCATGGCCGTGCTAGGATTCTATATGAAGTTAAAAACGGACGAACAGAAGGATCCTGACCAAGCAAGGAGGTCACTAACGGTGTTCCTCAACCTTTGTTAGCACCTCCTAAGGAGCCTTTGCAAGACATGCTATTCCTTAGTGCCCGCTTACATACTGTATGAGTATCTGTGCTTTGTATGTGCAGAAAGAATAAGATTATTTCCTCACTTTGGGGGCAACATCGCCCCTGTTGAGAATGCACACTAGCGGAAGAGAGGTCTTTGAAGACCTCCTTGAAGAGGAACATGGAAATATTTTTTTTTTCATGGATCCCCTCTGGAATAGTGATGATTACCACTGGGCATTAACTATGTGGGAAGCACTTTTCTGAGCAGCTGTGTGACTCTCACAGCTATTCTGTAAGTCCTGGTAATGTTTCCAAAGCCCCATGAGGTTAAGTAATTTGCCCAGAGCCACAAAACTAGTCCTGCTGGAGCTGAGATCCAAACCCAGACCAGCAGATGTGAAAGGCTGCACCCTCCCGCCTCTCATCATTAATCCCAGAACCCAGCGTCATAAAATGACTTAAAGGAATCTGGAACCTTGCCACGGTTGGATGTGCACTCACTGCCAGTGTCACTTGACTGTTCCAGCCCCTCTGTGACCGCTCTCTCATCTATGCAGAACACTGGTGTTTTCCCCTCAAAGAAGCGAAAGATAATGGGGACATTGGGAAACAGGAGAAGGGCTTTGTTCCCCAAATCTGGCCTCCTCCCCTGACCAGCAGAGGCGAGGAGGCTGCCTTCACACGCAGAGTTGGCTCTTGGGTAGAATGAGAAGTGAGAAAAAGCCACTGCCCCTCGGAGGGTTGGAGCTCTTCTCAAAATGGGTGTGTTTCCCTAAGAAACCTGTTGTGAGAGGCAGTTTGAAGAAACCGTCTTCCAAATTGATTGTCCGTATTCCCCAAAACCCTCCTTGACTTGGAGGAGTTCATGGTCCCTGTTTCTTACTGTCACACTCAGATCTTCAGAAAGAGACAGAAAGCTGCTGTCTCTCCTGGATCGTGAAAGCAGACACGTCGCCGTGAGCTCGCTCGTGCTTTGGGTCGTGGTTTTGGAGCGTGCGCAGCACACGAGTGTTTAAAGCCTCACTTTCTTGCTGCTGCATGTGCTGGCCTCCTGTCTCACCCCATCTCCTAGTAGATAGAGGCCTTCTGAAAGCTGGGACTGAGGAGCGGTGGGTCCCTCCGGGCCCCTTGCCCAGCTGATACTCCGTGAAAATCGATTGTCAGGCTGTCCGTGAGAACGTTTAAGACGTGTGCTCACTCGCTAAGTGCTGTCAGCCCTCCTGTCGCTTTTGTCTCGCAGTTGGTTTGTCGTTGGCGGCGCCCTGCTGCTCCTCAGCCTGTCGATTGCATGTTACTGCATCCTCTACCTGGAGTGGTGTCGTGGAATTGAAGATTATGACGTCAAGTACCCCACCTTGATACCCATCACAACTGCTACTTTTATCGCGGCTGGGATTTGGTAAGTTAACTTTGAAATGACTAACAGGAATAAAACGGTTTTTGATCGGTGCTGATGTACATGGTCCAAAATGTAAAGGAAAGGAGTAATGGGAAAATGGCCTCCTGTCATTGCTGGTCTTGGAGTCCCTTTCCAGTAGGATCTTTCTTTATATATTTAGCTATTTAATACGCAAATGGTGACATGCTATATATATTCTGCATTTTGCTTTTTCAGTCACTTCCGTTGTGAAATATAATACATATAGAAAGTGGAAAACAGGGCGCCTGGGTGGCTCAGTTGGTTAAGCGACTGCCTTCGGCTCAAGTCATGGTCCTGGAGTCCCGGGATCGAGTCCCACATCGGGCTCCCCGCTCAGCGGGGAGTCTGCTTCTCCCTCTGACCCTCCCCCCTCTCATGTGCTCTCTCCTCTCATCCTCTCTCTCAAATAAATAAATAAAATCTTTAAAAAAAAAAAAAAAGTGGAAAACACTAAATTGTACAGCTGAACGAGTTAAGAGATGCATTGATGAAAGCCCACCCAGGTCAAGAAGGAGAACCGTTCCAGCCCCAGAATCCCACCCCCACCCCCAGGCACCATCCTTCCTGCCCAGGGACAGACACTGCCCCGACCTGTGTGGGATTTGTTTTCTTTTGCATCTCTTAAATACTCTTATTTTTGTTTTGTCTGATTTTGAACTTGATAGAAATGGAGTCATATATGGTGTGTTCTTTTACATTTGGCGGTTTACACGCACTATTATGTATGCTGTTTATTACTCTCCTGCTCAAAACTTCAGAGACAGAGGGAAAGCTGCTGTCTTTCCTGTATCGTGAAAGAAAACGCGTCGCCATGAGTGGAGTTGTGGTTTGGACGGGGCTTTATGGGCGTGTGCAAAGCCTCACTTTTGTTCCTGCCTCATGTCTCAGTCTCATCCTGTGTCACCCCATCTCCCGTTGGATCTGCCTTGTGTATCAGGGCTGCTCACTGCTGGGTAGCATTCCAGCCTGTCACTGAATCCCAGCTCTTCGGCTCTACTGTCCATAGCATTTGGATTATTTCCAGTTTGGTGATGTTTTTAAGGATGCTGTTAACGTTATGGACTAGGACTCTGGTGCACACGTGTCTCTTGGAGGTATCCATGCTCACACATGTGTGTGTACATATCTCTAGAAATGAAATTGCTGGCTCGTAGATTGTACGTAGCTCCACTTTCAGTAAATAGCGCCACCTCTTTCCCAAAGTGTTCATTTTTTTTTTAATGGAGCCGTGTGGTTGATAATTCTTCCATATTGGTACATACAGATGTGCCTTGTTGTTTTGAATTGTTACATAATTATTACATAGACATAACCAGGATTTATTTAACCCGCTCTTGTTGGATTTAGAGTTGTTCTTACTGTTTTGCTGCTATAAAAACACCACAGTGTCCTTCTTAATAGTTATTCAGTGAAAAACATTGATAAAAGTATACTTGCTCACTGAAGAAAAATCTATTACAGAAAAACACAAAGGAAGGAAGTCACCATGATCCTGCTAGGCAGAGAGAAAAACTACTCTTACATGTTGTGTATATTCCTGTAGCTTTTTTCCTTTTTCTGTAATAAGTGAATTTTGATTTTGGAAAAACCATATACTTTTGTACATGTTCAGTTTAAATGCATGTTTTTTATGATGAATTTTCTGTATTTGAAGTTAAAGGGTATTGACACCTATTACCTTGTAATGTGGACATTACTAACCCTTCAGTGACGTGGGTGGACAGGTGTGCTCTTTCATATTATATGAGTAAGATCACCCCAGAAATGTTAGTTTTTAGAACAGTGGGATTGTAGCTGTTTAAAGTTCTCTTTATCAAAGTTTTACACATTAAAATAAAATCTTAATTTAATTGACTACAGTTTTCGCTAAGTAACTTCTGGTTCGGCAAATTTAGTCCATAAAAATCATTTGCACTTAGAAGCGGTCTTATTCTTACCTTGGTGACAGGAATAGTGTTTTTCTCAATAGGAATTTTTTTTTACTGTTTTTTTTTTTTTTAAAGATTTTATTTATTTATTTGACAGAGAGAGACACAGCGAGAGAGGGAACACAAGCAGGGGGAGTGGGAGAGGGAGAAGCAGGCTTCCCAAGGAGCAGGGAGCCCGATGCGGGGCTCGATCCCAGGACCCTGGGATCATGACCTGAGCCGAAGGCAGACGCTTAATGACTGAGCCACCCAGGCACCCCTCAATAGGAAATTTAATAGCAACTTATAAGTGATTATTTTTTCTTTCTGTTTCTAAGAGAAAAATATTTGAAACTGTTTTGACCGTGATCGTTTGATGGCGTGTGGATCGTAAAAGGCAGTAGCCGCTGTCATTCCTATTCCATCACAGACACTGACTTTTAAACTCTCGGGTTCCTCTTGGGCAGCTCTCATGGGAGGACCTTTAGCGGTTCCAGTTCCAAATACTTTCGGAAGAGTTTGAGATATTTCCACTTTGGGCTAAATCACATGGTGGAGAAACATGACATGCATATAAAGTTGCTGGCTAGGTAAACTTCCCCAGACTGAGGAACAGTGGGTTCTCCTAGATTCCACCGTGGGTTGTGTGTGTAGACTGCAGCCGGAGTTGCTAACTGTGTGCGCTTTGTCCTTTTCAGCTTCAACGTTGCTCTGTGGCATGTGTGGTCCTTCCTCACCCCGCTGGTGTTGTTTACTCAGTTCATGGGGGTTGTGATGCTCATCTCACTCCTTGGATGACTTCTAAAGGTAGGAGTTCTGGAATGGTATTTCTAATATTGAACTCATTGGAACAGTGACTTCCTCTATGACAGTTTTCAGGTGGCGGCCCACCAATGGCAGACTACTTAGCAACTGTTTATTCACTGAACTCTGAGATGAAAGGGACTGAGGCCCCTTTCCTTTTGCATAATTTAGCGCTTCTTCGGTATGGCACCCACCCTTCAGAGATGTCACCAAGACAGTATCTGCACCCTCCAGTATGGAAAAGTTCACGCTGTAGGTTATTTTCTCCTGAAGTCAGCTTCCATCACCTGATACACACGTGACGACTGGCCAGGTCGTTCTGACGGATTGGCAACATAGGAAGAATGGGCACTCTAACCCACTCTGACTGTTCTGGCTGCTTCCTAACGGACGACGCATCAACCTTTTCCTTCCATGTTCCTTATAGGGTTTCTTCCTCTCCACCAACAACTGCCCCCCTGGGCCCGCTGCCTTGCACAGTGGGGTCTGTTTGTCGAGTATCAGATGACTCATTTATCACACAAATATGTATTGAGAACACTCCCTCTGCATGCTGAGGGACATGGGGAGAAAGACCGAGGCAGCCCCTCCCTTCCCGTCCCTTACTTCAGAGCTTGGAGGACATCTACTTGGTGCATCACTTTACAGGCATGAAAACAGGCCCAGAGAAGTAAAAGTTAATATATACTAAGTAAATGACTGGAGTGCTAAAGAAAACTGGCTTCAGCTAACAGCATGTGCTCCCTTTGGAGTTTTATTTTTTCTTTTTAAAGATTTATTTGAGAGAGAGAAGGAGGGAGCGCACTAGTTGGGGGGAGCTGCAGAGGGAGACGGAGAAGCAGGCTCCCCGCTGAGTATGGAGCCTGACGTGGGGCCCAGTCCCAGGACCTCACGATCATGACCTGAGCTGAAGGCAGGTGCTTAACTGGCTGAGCCACCCAGGCGTGCCCCGCCCCCAACTTCGGCATTTTAAAGGAGAGTCACTGTACCCACATAAAGGAGAAACGGACATAATGTCATTGCTCCCGGGCTGCAAGTCGTCGCTGTCATGGCCCTGACCGCGCTGGGGTGGAGAGTCCCCTCCACATGCTGTGCTGTGTCCGGGGCCACCTGGCCTCTCTGTAGCCCTTTCTCCCGGTTCAGGTGTGTCACCACAAGACGTCGCCTCACCTGACCACGTGTCCTGCCACTCCCCTTCTCTCAGGTGTCGTTAACATTTTTGGCTGTTGTTTTGACTTTTTACACATGTTCAGGAGCTTTTGACATCCTGCTGATGTGAATTTATATTTGGTAATGGAGAGCCAGAGATGTTGTAGACATGTGGACTAAACTGCGCTTCTCACAACAGATCCAGAAGCTGAAGATAGAATGTCTCACATTGGATATCAATGCTCGTTTCCTCTCAGGTTTTAGAGCGCGTCAGTGTGAACGCTTCAACCCCCAGCTGGCTGAAAGCTTCGCAGACGTAATGGAAATGCTACAGTGCGTTTTTGCATCTAGGAAGTGAGTGGTTTCCTGGGAAAAATTTTAACTTTGCAGTCTGGTTGAAATCAGAATAAATTCAAGCTCTTTTGCCTGTTCTTAAACTCAATAATTATTGAATTTTTCAAATTCAAAATAGAAGTAGTTGGTTTGCAGTGTTAATCTGTTTGAATCATTGGCGAAAGTATTGGTGTAAACATTTAAGCAGCGTTTCATTATAGGTACATGATGTCCTCCCAAAATTGCAAATAAGTTGTTTGCTCTTTGGTTGTATACGATCACTGGGTGTATATAAAGGAATGATCGTGTCCTGTGCCTTTAACCCAGCTTCAGCAATTACTATATTTCTCAGTTTTGTAATAGTCTTGTTAGGTGAGAGGACCATTTGGAAGCATTTTATGTGTTCATATCACTTTAGATTTCATCATGTGTAAATTCCTGTGTTTCTAGCATTTGTTTACTTATCATTTTAATCATTTTAAGTATGTATAATTTTTTAAATCCTTTTTTAATCATTTTTAAGTATGTATAATTTTTTCCTTAATGTTTAAATAAAATATTTTTATAACTTTCTTGTGAGTTTTCTTACTACAGGTTTTGGAAAGTTTGTTTTCAGCTATTAGAGTTAACTAAAGGAATAGGGCTTCTTCTTAGAGATGTCTACTCTGCTCTTTAAAGATCTCAGGAAGACACTGTTCACACTTTAAAATGCAAATATGTTCATGTTAAACCCAAACATCATACGCCTTGTGGTGTTGATCCTCACCCCACCCCCTCAAAAGGGACTTCTGCTGATAGTGGGATTCATTCACCACTTGTGTCTGGCTTGGATCCCACCCTGCACCTACCATGACCGGACCTTGAGTAGTAACCTTTCTCCAGCTGTGAAGTGGGAACAATATTTGTTTTGTAGGGGGCACCTGGGTGGCTCAGTTGGTTAAGCGACTGCCTTCGGCTCAGGTCATGATCCTGGAGTCCCGGGATTGAGTCCCACATTGGGCTCCCTGCTCAGCAGGGAGTCTGCTTCTCCCTCTGACCCTCCTCCCTCTCATGCTCTCTCTCATTCTGTCTCTCTCAAATAAATAAATAAAATCTTTAAAAAATATATATATTTGTAGGGTTGTGGATAGTAGGAATAATGTTTACAAAACACCCATTACAGGGCGCCTGGGTGGCTCAGTCGTTAAGTGTCTGCCTTCAGCTCAGGTCATGATCCCGGGGTCCTGGGATCAAGCCCCGCACCGGGCTCCTTGCTCTGTGGGAAGCCTGCTTCTCCCTCTCCCACTCCCCCTGCTTGTGTTCCCTCTCTCGCTGTGTCTCTCTCTGTCAAATAAATAATTTAAAAAAAACAAAACAAAACACCCATTACAGTGCCTGGTACACAGTAGGTTTCTGGTACACAGTAGGCGCTCACTCCATTAATGGTAATAGAGAACGAAAGACCAAGTAGATTCAGGATCAGGAGTGGGAAAAGGCGGGCAGGAAAGTGGGAAAAGGTGAGCAGAATCGAGCCCAGTCTGGGTACACACACGTGAGAGTTTCATTACAAGGTGAGGAGCAAGGTCAGACAGAGGTCAGAGTCAGCCACGTCAGTCAGTGATGTGGGGAGTCCAGTGCAGGGTTGCGGTTGCGAACCCTGGAAGTTAGGATGAGAGTAAGAGACAGGCGGGACTAGGAAGGGAGAGACAGGTAGGGGGCTACCTGATCAGGCTCACCAAAAATCCCCAAAATGCTGAGGCGTAAGGAAACCAGAGATGAGGGAACATAACCAGAGCACCTCGTTTGTCTTAAACCTCAGAGGCGAGATATTCAAAGGAGAAGTAATCATGGTGCTCTCAGTGGTGACGTCAAGAAGATTGAAGTTCCCTGATCAATTTTCTATAAAAGACCGACCATAAAAGCCCTCAGTGGCAACCCATTCGGGACCCCTCTCACTTGAGAGGGCTTTTTCTTTCCTTTCTGTTTCCACCTTCACTGAATAAACTTTTGCTTCACCCTTTTGTGTCCGTGAGATTCATTCTTTGACCCCGTGAGACAAGAACCCTGTAACAAGAGCATTGGTTCTGACCCTCCGGAGGGGCCTGGGGCGGGGGACAAAGGACAGCGCCCTAGTGACAGCACCCACAAGTTCTATGTCTGGAGAGAGTCTGCAAGAAAACACCTATCCTCCCTCGCTCTCCCGCCCCCATCTCTTACTGCGGAGTGTAGTTCTATTTGGATAGAAATCTAAGGCTGGGATTTTCTGTAGGTAGTCCGTTAAAACCCAGTTAGCAGAATGTAGATGTTCGGGCCAACAAAGAGGGTAAGATGACCCTGTTAGTTGCAAAGAGACATTTTAATAAATTTTTTTAAAACTGGATCATGCCTGGTCTCTGTTTCTGTTACATAACTGTCATGTATGTTATTTATGGGTCTTTCCCTGTTACTATAACTACTAAATAAGTAAAAATGGTATCAGGCCATCCTGTCAGTGCTTCTGAACAAGCCTGTGGGAGGAGCACCACTCTTCAGAGTAAAGCGTAAATGAACACTTGCCAATCTCTACCATGAAGGCCAGGGATATGGCAGAAGCACGTGTGTGCTCTTAAAAGTGTCCCTGACTCTCTTGGGGCGCGTGGGTGGCTCAGTCCGTTGAGCTTCTGACTCTTGGTTGCGTGGGACTCTTGGGTTGGGGTCAGGTCGTGGTCTCAGGGTCATGAGATGGAGCCCCACATCCAGCTGTGTGCTCTGCGTGGAGTCTGTCTCTCTCCCTCCCCTTGTGCCTCCCCCCAATAAATAAGATCTTTTAAAAATTAAAAAAAAAAAATTGTCCCTGACTCTGACCATCCCAAGTGTCAAGTCCAAGTTTTCTACCCGGCTTGCATACTCGTGCCCAGGCCTGCTGCTCAGAGGTTGTGGTTCGGTTGGTGAGCAGGGCTGTTCTGTGTGAAGCCTTCTCCAGGCGATTCTAACATCAGGAGGAGTCAAGAACTCTCCTGGTCCAGTCCGTTTAGGGAGAGACCTCTCTGCAGAAGCTAGAACCTTCAGATTGGCAGGGAACATAGAGATAATGGAATCTAACCTTGCTCACTAGGGTCAAAACCAGACTGAGACTCCCCCGCCCCTCTTCAACCCCACAATCTGTGTCTGGGACCCAGCTTACGAGACTGGCCTTTCTAGGAGACTAACAGGATTTCAGGCCCTGGCTCTGCCGGGGCGCTTGGGTTTTATACACCAAAAAAGGTCTCTTAAGCCAGAGAGGCACTGGAAGGGCCTGGGAGAATCTGAAGAGCCGTCTCTGCAGGTGGGCTCACTTGGGGGAGGGGCTGGGGCTAGGCCTGGAGTTACTCCCTGGTGCTGTCGGCAGCTGCACCAGTCCGGATAAATGCCCTCACTTAAAGGTGGGTTTTTTTGTTTGTTTTTTAATATTTTATTTACTTGACAGAGACACAGCGAGAGAGGGAACACAAGCGGGGGAGTGGGAGAGGGAGAAGCAGGCTCCCCACGAAGCAGGGAGCCCGACGTGGGGCTCGATTCCAGAACCCTGGGGTCATGACCTGAGCTGAAGGCAGATGCTTAAGGACTGAGCCACTCAGGCACCCCAAAGAGGCATTTTTTTTTTTAAGATACCTATTAGAGAGAGAGAGCACAAGTGGGGGGGAGGGGCAGAGGGAGAGGGAGCAGGGAGCCCGATGTGGGGCTCGATCCCAGGACCCTGGGATCAGTCCCAGAGCAGAAGGCAGACGCTTGACCGACTGAGCCACCCAGGCGCCCCAAATGCCCTCCCCTTAAAAACATTTTTTTTTTTTTAAGATTTTTTTTTTTAATTTATTTATTTCAGACAGAGAGAATGAGAGAGAGAGAGCACATGAGAGGGGGGAGGGTCAGAGGCAGAAGCAGGCTCCCTGCAGAGCAGAGAGCCCGATGTGGGACTCGATCCAGGGACTCCAGGATCATGACCTGAGCCAAAGGCAGTTGCTTAACCAACTGAGCCACCCAGGCGCCCAAAAACATTTTTTTTGAAAGACTGATTCAGCTCAGTATTCCTTGAGGTGGGAAAGAGTTTGGTGGATTCTTGGAACATGGAATTCATAAAAATGACTCCACGAAACAGTGACGGGACTGTTTTGTACACACTGAGGACTGATTCCCCAGGAGCAGCGTTGCAGGTACTGGGCCGAGTGCGGTGGGGAGTTGAAGAGGAGAGCCGACCAGAGGAGGGACTGGTCCGAAGCGGGCTGTGAAGCCCTCCTCGCCTGAGCCTCAGACTCAGCCCCCCAAGTGGAGGGCCGCAATTTCCCCATTTGGGCAGAAGGGGGATGGGTGTAAAGCAGCGCGAGCGATAGCTTTTCCTGTTAGCTGCAGCTTTTGCCAACCTTTTAATACCTCACTTGGGGCGTATTCATTGTGCCTTGAGATGCATCATTCCCACGCGCACCCGGATCTGTTGTCCTGTTCCCCTCTCTGAACACACACACCCAAGTCGGGTTCCCTCAGGCTCCTGAAGTTATGGACCGCGTTCTCTGGTCTCCCTTATGGCACAACTCCCCCAAAGGGCGCTCTGTGCTCCCCCTCTCCAGTTGTGCTCCGTATTTTAACAAGCGTGTCACGACGTATGTTTGCAGAAGAGTGTATATTGCATTGCCTTATGTTTACCATAAAGAAGAGTCAAAAAGGACCTCTGGAACTGGGTGCCACCCGGGCCCACATACCTCCAGTGGTACGAGTGACCCCCAGTTCAGCCACTGCTTCCCCACGGTCCCCCCGCACTCACCTGAGCACCATGTCTCCCTCAGGGCCATCCAAACTCTTCTCACAGTCCCTTTATTCCTGCCACCGTGACCGGCACAAAAGGCCTGGGCCTCCCGGCGCACGTGTCCTCTCCACACACGTCTGTATGTTCCGGGTGTCTAATGCTGCGTGACAAGCCACGCTACACGTGGTTTTAGGCTTAAAACCACCACCACCACGACTTTGTTCGCGAGTCTGAAGTCGGAACAGGAATCTGCAGGAACAGCTTGTTTGCACTCCACAGGGGTGACTCGACCGGCTGGCTGGACGGTCCCCTTCCGAGGAGGTTCACTCGGGGTTGGCGAGCTGGGGCTGGCTGCCGGTTTCTCTCCGCATGGGCCTCCCCCATGGGGCCGCGGGGGTTTCCTCCCCGCAGAGGAGCTCCCATCCAAAGGTGAGCTTGGGTATCCAGTTTTTGGTTGCTGCTCTAACAAATTGCCACACACAGCAGCTAAAAACAACAGAAATTGATGATCTCTCAGTCCTGCCGCTTGAGGTCTGGCGTGGGTCTCAGGTGTTGGCAGGGCTGTGGTCCTCTCTGGAGGCTCCAGGGGAGAACCCATCTCCTGTAGTTGGAGGCGGTGAGCAGAGTTCAATTCCTTGCAGTCCTAGGACTGAGCTCCCTGTCCTGAGCTGGCTGTCAGCGAGGCCGTTCCCGGCTCCTAGAGGCACCTCTCTTTGCCGCCTCGGGGCACTCTCCCTCCATCTGCAAGCTTCACATGTCTCCTGCCTCTTCCTCATCATACTGCCCCAACCCCTCTTCCGCCTTCCCCTTCTGCTGAAGGGCCCATGTGATTACACC